CCTCCACGCTTTCATTTATCTATTCTACTTACAAGTTCCACGTAGCCACGTAGTTATTTCAGATTTCCTGAAATATTGACTTGTTCACAATAAAATAAAAATCCATAGTTCCTATATATTTTTATAACACGTTGTGCAATAAGAATAACCAAAAAGGGCTAATGTCCCCGGGGTTCCACTCCCGTTGTTATTATTATTTAAATATATAATATCTATATTACCTTATAAATATGTGCGATGACTTAAAGGTACCGAACTACCGACGATTGCTGATTTTGATATTGACAGTATATAAACGGTCCGGCTCTCTGTATTAGATCGACGACGAGCAACTACTACACTGGTACTGGCTGGTTTGGTACTGTAGTAGTGTACAAAAGTACAATACTGTACTCGTACAATTCACTGGGAAATGGTCGACTCGGTGACCCGACAAAATAAACTGTCAAATGGGCAGTAAAATTGTTTTCTCGAGGACCTTGGCCGATGGACGACGAATGACGATTGAGACTGCAGGCACCAGGCTATACAATAAGGACACCAATACAATAAAATAATAGCTATTATATTGTAGTCACGGACTAAGATATAATGGATTTAAAACGACATGGTCGGTGGGGATCGAGGGACGGCCTCGAAAAGATGTCACTTAGCTGCGTCTTGACGTTTTCAGCGCTACCGGTGGTTTTATTTGGCCACACAATTTGTATCTTAGTCTGTGTTAAATACGCAGAGGGCGCTGTGAACTCTAAGACCACATAGCGATCCCTCGCACTTTGCTTCTTGTACATAGTACATACATTAGTGGCCGGATAAGCTGCTCGTTTCTTGTCCGTTATATCTTAGTCCGTGATTATAGTATACAAATTAACCCCCCTCTAAACATATATATTTTCTACACGCATGTCCTATAATGCGTACATTCCACAAACAGTATCACACATAATGCGTTTATGACCATGACAAAATATATTTTGTCATGAATGCGGTGGACACTAGCTGTAGCCTATAGACCCTTTTGTGTGTGTTGGTCCCTTCTCCCCCACGGTTTTTATTTATGAGTACTTTTTCAGTATACCAATAGATTGTGATCACAACTCACAAGTTATGTTCCGAGAAAAAGGTCAGCGTTATACCCACACATACGAAATAGCGACCCCCGCCAATGCCATAATGTGTTTAGGTAGGTATAGTAGTGTAGTAATATGTTGAGCAATGTCTGTATACCCAGTAAGCAATATTTTTTTTTGTCAGGCGTTTTGTCCTATGATAACGTGTAAAGGACAATATTATACACCAACCAACAAAGACAATAACATTTTGATGAATAATGTCTATGAATGTCATACTTACAGATTACAGCCACGTTGCACTATATCTGAACAAATGGCGGTACAAAAATCCACATAAAAAATTCACATATTCGATAACATTCATACATGATATTTAATTTATATTTTTATATTTTAATAATGTAATAAAATAAATAAAGTGAAAAATATGAACACATACAGAAACAGAGAACTTGAAAAATTTTACAAATTACCACTTCTATAATATTATCATAATATTATCCATGGTATATTCAGTGGTGTATTGGGGGGTATACGGGGGTATACGGCGTATACTCACTTCTCAATTTTTTTTTTTAGCGTATACTCTCTAAATAAACGGCGATACGCGGGTATACGGACGTATACCCCCGTATACCTATTAGAATTTTCGCTGATAAAAACAAAATGTTCTGTATATTTGTAATTTTCATTTCATATATACGTTATTATAACATATTATACGTTATGGTGAAGATGAAATCAAACGATTATGTAAACTTTTTCAAGTCAATAAGAATGATGCTATCAATGGATTCAGACAAATAATAGATGATCAAACAGTTTCATTTAAAAATGTTATGCCTGAATTTTATAACTTGGTACAAACATTTCCTTGTTCAACAGCAGAGTGCGAACAGAGGGGTTCAGTCTAATGAACAATATATGCACTAAGTTACGTTCTACGTTAACTATTAAACATTTAGCCAGTCTTATGTTTATAAATGTAAATGGTCCTCCACTAGATGAATGGGAACCAAAAAGTTATGTCAGTAGTTGGTTGGTAAATCATAAGACTGCTGAAGATACCAGAACAAAAAAAAACGTCAACCAGGAACCAGAAACAAGAGAGGAAAAAAAAAGCATATAGAAAATATTATAGATTATAATAATTATTATTAAAATACCTATGTATTATTATTATATTTATATGAATTAATTTGTTATTAATAAAGAAAACTTTTATCAATTTGTAATTGTTTGGTTTTAGTTTTTAGTTAAATGTTTTATATTTCAGTATTTTACTAATTGATAATAATTAGATACTCTGAAATGTTATGTTTAGGGCAAGGAATTGCATGCATTTACATACTTTGTAGTTTTTATGGTTAATTTTGTGACATGGGAGTAACAAAATACAATTCACAAAATTCGGGATGAAATACCTACTTAACCTATTTAGTGCATATTTTGACTATTTTGGTTTTAAAAGCAATATATTTAAAATAAAAAGTAATTTCGTGATTTAATTTGATTTTGTTTTTCATTCAGTTAGTAGTTGAAAGATACTTGTATATTAATTGTAATCTGATAATTAGATAATTTGGTCATTATCGTATTCGAGTGAAGCGAGAAAATTTTTTTTTTTGATTTAATGTTATAGTTATGTCATTGATACCTAAGATCTAGAAGGCGTATACCCACGAATATTTTTAGCAATACACCACTGGGTATATTTATATGTGATATGTCTGTAGTTAATATAATCACACCAAAAACACTTCGTTAGTGTAAAAAAAAGTGTAAAAAAAAAAAGCAGTTAAAAAAAAAGTTGCTCTGCTTTACAGTAGGTTACAAGTGGGCCACTGTATAATGAATGGTATTAAATTTGAATTCAATGATATAATATCATTGTATAAGGAAGACGATTCTGAGTGGAGACGGTATGTCAATCTAGGTATAACACATATTATATACTTATCTATGGTATTAAAAAAAAATTGTATCTATCACAGATATATACAATAATATATTAATAATATATTGTATATATCTGTGGTATCTATAATAAATTCCAAATTATTTTGGAATTTTTGGCAACAGAATTAAATACTTACGTGGAATCTTGTTTTAAATTTTCAATCCTTAGATATAAATGTTGAACATTTTATAAATTTTATACAGCAGATAGTATAATTGTGGACCCATTGTTATCTAAAGTATTAGTAAATGGATTTGAGTTATATGACAAAGATAAATTACCAACTATTGCTATCAGTACCTATAGGACTGAATCGTATGTACTCTTTGAGTAGGCACAAGAAAAAATAAGTCTTTAATTTTGGAATTAGAAAATCAGGTTAATACAAGAAAAATTAAATATAAAACTTTTGGTTATTATTTGAATTGTTCTTGGTATACCAAGATTGGTAAAAAAGCAAAAACTGAAGATGTGAAAAAAATGTATAAACGTTTAAAAAATAAAGATTCAGATTTAGCCAAAAAGTTTATAGCACAAGAAGAAAACGAAGGTGCAGAATGTAATGTACTATATCAATATATCCGAGACCATGCCAAGAATCATTCAAAAACAATAGAACTAATAAAAATATAAAATCATTCCGAGATAACAATAATACTGCAATGCTATATCTCCACCTAGTTTATTCGGATGCAGTGGCGGAACTAGGGGGGTGAAGCCGGGGATTGATCCCCGGGCGTAAAATTTTAGTGGGCGTAATTTTTCTTTAGTTTTTTATTTAATGCTTGGTGATAGAAGTTAAGAAAACATTTTTATTTCACATTATTTGTTTATGATGTTGTAGTGATGACGTTGGAATTAATGAAAAAAAAAATAAAGTTAATGGTATTATGAATAGATTCGTATTAGTATTATACTAAGTATATACTGGTATACTGGCATTAGCATACCTACTGCAAGCATATTTATATACAACTAATATACTATAATTATTAAGATTCTGAGTTAAAATGTAACTAGTAACTATACCTAGGCATATTTTATTGATGCTGTGTTTTCGTTAAAATTTCTGATACCTACACAATAACTGTTATAAGATTATCAATCAACGTACGATACGTATATTATATCTGTAAATTAAAAATGATGTTATTATATAGTTTATAATATTATATATTATAATATTTACCGAGATAGTTATACATTTGTTTATGTTTAAAAAAAAGATTTGATTTTAAATATTTACTTTTTCATTTTTTCTATTATAAATTGTTTAATTAAGTACAATTTTTTACTGGCCTAAATTGTGTACCCTAATCAGAATAAAAGATTTTATATTTTACCATAAAAATCTATTATAATTGAAGGCTGAGGCGCATGGAACCAAAACAGTAAAAGGGTTTATAATTTGTATACAGGATAGGTAGCTAATTAAAGTTTTGATTATTTTTCAACATTTATATATAACTAATATTATTATTATTTCTAATAATAAATACAATTAAGTAACCACTACAGTATTTCCAGTAATTAAAAATGTATCAACAATATGTTAACTAAGTTTTTAAATTTAAAGTGTTTTTGGTGTGAATGTGTGATAGTTTATTAGTATAAACTTGGTTACACCACAGTCCACAGAATATATTAATTACTATATATTATTATGTGTTTAAAAGTTAATAAGTATGTTTGTAATTTTAGTTCCAGTTATGATAAAACAATTATAGGGAATGATTTTGTATATTCAATCTTGGTCTATGATTGGGCTTAATTTTAATATTTTCCCCGGGCGTAAAAATTCTTAGATCCGCCTCTGTTCGGATGTACTTGATTTTAATAGGGTTTATAGTGCTTATTTGCGTATTATAGCTGGTTGTTATAAACCACCTACTGTTATGTCTACAGGATACTAGTATCCTGAAGGTACATGGGACAAGGCATTCTCTTTAGCTAGTAATATGGAAACAATGCATCGAGTGATCACAACATTTCATATTCCTCTAGGAACATATTACCCACAGCCAAATATGTGTGTATTGATACCAGAAAACTGTCAGACCGTAGAGGAAAGTTTTATTAGTCCTAAAAGGGGAAAAAATCTTGAATCACCAATATTAATAAAGCATATACTAAATAATAGACGACCAAATGTATATGCAATTTTTAGTGAAGACAATCCCATTATCATAAAATTACCACCAAGAGCCAAACTAACCAAACAGTCAACACGACCCATAAAGTTTTCGTCTGAATTTAATACAGGTCGTTCTGCTCCAACTTCTGATGACATTAAAAAGTTTGACCAAGTAAGTCAGTCACATTCTCATATTTTGACTTGGTCTCAGAGCTTATTTATCAATAAGAGCATTAAATGTGATAATGATTATGAAACTGATGGCGAATGTATGTATGGTAAAAATAATACACGATTAACTGTTAATAAACAATGCAACAGCTTTATAAAAAAAATCGTAACAATCGCGATGTAGAATCATCAAATATAATTTATTTCATAATTACTTTAAAATTATTGTACACCATTGTATAACTTTCATTCAATTTGCAAAATATTGATTTGTTTGTTTGAATTAATTATGTTATCGTTATTGAATATTAATAGGTACTCATTCATAAAGTCGTGAATTATATTATTTTGCATCTGCTTATGTGAACGAGAACCCAATAAACATATAATAACCTGGTAATTACTGATTAACGGATATACTGACCGTTAAGTAATACATTTTTTTAAATATTATATTAGTTTTATTGGTTACTTACATTTTATGTAATAATTTTTGTTTGGACCCACGCTGGAACCAGCCGGGCCTTAAATCTATCAAATGTGCACTAATGAATTTCTTCGAGTCCGCACCATCGCACCAAAACATGTATGCATTAAGTGAAGTGGTTATGAAGTTTGTTTTGTGTGCTAAATAATCATTAATATCATGTTTCAATGATAGCATTCTCTTAATAACTAAAACTAAAAAGAATGTCATCAGTCATTACCATAATCCTTAATAAAATATATATTTTAATATTGTATATTATAAAGTCACACAGATGTTTAGATATTAGAATATAGACATTTGTTAAAAATCTTTTTATTTTTGTTAAATGGCGCGTTATGGCGATTTAAATATAAAATAAAAATTCAAAAATATCACTTTTAAGATTTTTAATATTTAAAAAACTAAACGTTATATTGAAATTCGTATACTTGTATCGTCTTAAACACATAAAACCATATATAGATAGACATAAATTAAATTAAAAAAAATTACATTTTTAGGTTGGTAAATCGTTATGTGAAGCGAGAAACTTTTACACGTTTAAGATAGGCAATTACGATGAGAGTGATGAGACAGGCCCTATGACGTCCGCGTCTTTTTTCAATTAATCATAACTTATTATCAGAAAAACCTAAAAAAAACCATACATTTAATTTTAATATCTTATTAAATAGGTATAACTTTACGAAGGCGCAAAATAAAAAATACAATATTATTTCAACAAAATAAAACTTTCTGTCCCCCCGTTCTAAAGAAAATAATTAGAAGGGGTACGCTCAAAATATAAAAAAGTAGAGGAACACCTTCCCTCTCCCCAATTCGAGCACTGATTAGTGGTTTCCAAGCATAAGTTATAGTAGTATGATTTTGACATACCACTCTATGTGATATACCTACTATATATATTATATAGGTGATAGACGGATTGCTCATTTTAGTTTCGTCTTAAACGGTGATGATTGACTTGATAGACACTTTAACATACAGGTTTTTGCATTTTTTTTTTAAATTAATATATATACTCTATAGGTACATGTTTATATACATTGTATTAGTTAATATAATAGTATGTATCTAACTATCTACCAATATGTTAATTTTTTTTAGGAATTATAATTGCACATTTCTCAAAATGTTCATTGTTATATTATATCACACAATAAATACATATCATATTTGTTTGTATGTATATTGTATATAGTTTGAATTTTTCGTAAGTTTTGTGATAGGATTTTCACTTATAGCCGCTCGACGTCGGGTCTGCAATCCATCGCAGGTGGATTGCCTACCTGATTTGCCGTACCACATTGTCCACGATCCGACGAAGTCGGATTGCCTACCTAAGTGGCTAACTTGAAAGTTAATAGATTTTGTCTTGAGATGACTGACTTGCTAGAAACTCCAACACGGTTTTCGACTTTACACTTTTTACACAAGATAAAGAACCGGTCATTCTACGGCACATTCCACTCTATGTGCACTGTGCAGGTATACTCTATATAGGTGATCCTGGTGATCGTATCTCCAGCCTATCCATTTACAACGTTTGTGACGGATTGCTAGACGCTCAAACTTTTAACATTCCCACCAAAGCGTCTAGCCTTATCTCCAATCCATATCACTAATCCTTATCACAAATCCTAAACTTTCGTCTTACAACCTTTTCGACTTTTATAATTCATTGTCTCCAAAATCGGTACCCACTCCCAGCGAGTCCAACGGGCCCCGTTATCATGTTATCAGTTACCGCGAACGTGTTTGTATATCATATTTGTATTATCATTATAAAATTATTTCTATTTGTAATAAAATAAAAAAAATAGGCTTTAGAGAGTTTCGAACTCTCGAATAATAATGTATACTCGCCATAGCTTTACATAAAACTGCAAAAGAAACATTTGTAGGTACTAATAGCTTGCAGCTGCGCACACAATACCGCCACCGCGTATTGTCATTAAGAGCCATCACTTAAACTTTAAAGGATACAATAGACATCCGTTCGCACGCTCGCCGAACATTATAAAATAATCAATAAATGACCATTCTACCTATAGTATACAAATATCGAATAGAAGATATTTTCTACCATTAGATACCAATTAATGAAAAATACATTAACCCTAATAGCCTAATTATTGTCTTGGTCATCGCCAGGATGTCGCGGAATCTTAATAGCCACCTCTCACGTTTTAACCCATCTTAACATTAGGTTACAATGGCGCTACCGTCGTATATTTCCTGCCTTTAGATATTATTCGTATTCAATATTTTTTCTATTCACACACAAGGAAACATTAGTTCATTGCTATAATAATCAATAGTCCGTCTACAGACTGTCGCCAGGATGTGATTTACATTTACTTAACGATATTAAAATGTCAATTAGTCAGTAATGACCGATATAATGTCTTAACATTAGACCACAATGGTGCTGCCGTCGTATATTTCCTGCCTTTAGATATTATTCATATTCAATATTTGTATCTCGCCGCAAATCTAATAACACCAAACTTGGAAAAATTCCGCATAACCGCAAAACATTTTTCCAATAATGATCTACCGCTTGTCACCCGTAAGGGTGTATATTCTTATGACTTCGCTGATGATTGGGCTAAGCTTGAACAAACAACTTTACCTGCAATAGAGGACTTTTATAGCACCTTAACAGAAGATCACATAAAAGATACTGAATATCAGTTTGCGGAAGACGTATGGAGTCATTTCAATTGTCAAACGTTGGGCGAGTATTCAGATCTATACCTGAAAATTGATGTCTTGCTTCTGGCGTATGTATTCGAAAATTTCCGGGACTTATGTTTGAACACATACAATTTGGATCCAGCATACTATTTTACAGCACCAGCGTTTTCTTTCGATGCAATGACTCCATATACGTCTTATAAGAAAAAAATTCTAAATAGGTACCTACCTATAAATTTTTAACTTTTAAATGAATATATTTTGTGACATGAGTTTATATACGCGTATATAGGGCGGTAGTTCACAAATGACAACCGCAATTTATATAGTTAGAAGTCACCACTGCCATTGACTTACTGGTGCAGGTGGTGGGAAAAATTATGTCTAAATCTTGGTTTTACTCATGGCGATGACACTACAATTATTACGTCTTATCTGACATATTTGTATTTATTTCCATGGGTTTTTTATTGTTTTATTTAAAGAAGATAATAATATAAATAATAAAATATATGTATATATATTACATATATAGGTACAAGGCATAAGCGTGCAACAGAAAGACCTGACAAATGAAATAACATTGGTTATAACTTTTAATCAATATTAAATTTTTTTTTGTATAGTTTATATACGCGCTTGCGTAACAAGTACGGATTACGATTTTAGATTCTGAGTGGATGGGCAAGATACTCAAAAATCAGTATCGAGATAGTAGATACTAGATACCTGGATTTGGAGTATCGAGATACTAGATACTCGATACTTGGCTCTAGAGTATCGCGATACTAGATACTCGACACTTGGCTTTGGACTATCGCGATACAAGATACTCGATACTCGATACTCAATACATTTTAATAAAATTAGTCACTGGATTTTTAAAAATTATGTTTATTATTGTGGGTATGGCCACTTCATTAAGAGGACGCCTCACCCGCATGTGTTGTCACCGTCTTACACACATACGACATAGCAAATGTTCGTTGGCTAGTTTCAATATGATATTGTCAGTTTTTATATAAGAGTGAATTGACCTATTATCAAACTTTTAGGTCACAACATTATCTGTGTTCTCTCGTTGGTTTTTTACGATATTTTAATTTTTAAGTGAATTATGGGTATGTAAAGTATTCATATTCTAAAATGTTCATAACTCACTTAAAAATTAAAATATCGTAAAAAACCAACGAGAGAACACAGATAATGTTGTTACCTAAAAGTTTGATTGTAGGTTGATTCACTCTAATATCAAAACTGACAATACCCTATTGAAACTAGCAAACGAAAATTTGCCATGTCGTACGTGTGTAAGACTGAGACAACACATCTGGGTGAGACGTCCTCTTAAGTAATTAGAATGAAAAATAAAATAAAAAACATTGACACTTTCAGTAATAATAATATATTAGTCACTTTTCAAAAGTGGTTTCTGACTAGTAAAAATAATCGTAAACAATTAATTTTTCAAAGTATCGCGTTAATGTATCGAGTATCTTTCGATTAAATTAATTCATGAAATACTCGATACATTGACTAAAAATGTATCGTGATACAAGATACTCGATACTTCACATAATTGTATCGAGATACAAGATACAAGATACAAATGTATCTAAGATACGTATCTTAGATACTTGTATCGAAGATACTGCCCAACCCTGAGTGGAGTGATGAATGTATTGACTTTACAATGGTCAATGTCACAGTGGCGCCGAAGTCCATGCTGACGTCGGGCCGTGGTCCGACCTCTTTTTTGAAAAATGTGGCCGGCCGGCCATATTTAATTTACATCATAACTTTATTATAAGCATGAGTAAATTTAAACCGTGATTATGAATAAATTTATATTAGGGTACCTCTATATTAAATAATTAAGATATTGAGGCCGGGAAGTTTTAAAATTGCTCGACCACATTTTAAAAACTTCGGCGCCACTGGTCAATGATGTGTGTTTTTTTTCTTTATTTTTTTGTTCCTTTGTACACGATAACTGATAAGTAGTCGAAATAATGCTTCGGCTGTCAACTTCAGTATCTTGTGCGATGGGAAAGCGAATTTAGTTGGTGAATTGAGGAGGTCAAAATTAAAAATTCTTACAACATTGGATATTCACTCGATTTCCCGAGCAGCAATTTTCTTAATTTTTTGTAATTTAAAAACGAAAAACTGTTGATACTTGAAATTTACACCATATGTTTATTTTATCAATTCCCATACTTGATACAATTTTCAAAATATTTTGATTCGTATAGATCTGTTTAAAGACATTTTAAAATTTCAATTTTTTTAGTTTTTTTCTATAATTATCAATAAAATTGTATTTGATGGTTCAAAAAGAGTGAACATTTAATACAAGGCTTCTGATATATTGTTACAATAGCAGTTGAAAAATATTAAAAATACATAGGCAGAATTTTTTATACAAGCATTTAAAGTATCTATTAGTATATTAATTGTATTTGATTTCGCATATGTTTCTGTTTGATAATGGATACAAACAGTAAATATAGTAACTTACTAACTTAGCTGGTGTATTGTTCTTTAAATGTATTAGGAATAATCAATAATATTGAAGTGAGCCACACTTGTGATCAATTATGGCCTATGTGTGTGACTTAAAAATTAAAAATGAATTACTTAATTTATTAGGTAAAACTTATAAGTGTTAATAATTTGTAACATTATTTTAATAAATGAGAAGTAAATAATATTTTTTGATTGTTGGTAAATGTTATTGGTGTATTATATGTCAATGTTGTTGATGTTGTTTGCGGTAGAGTGGTGGGGTGGTTCTATGCCCCCCACAGATTAAGTCGAGATTAATCGTTGTCAGGAATGCTAATTTTTTTAAGTTTTTGAGTCCCCTTTCTTTTATTTTTTTAATTCGAGCACTGTTGGAAACTTAAAGAAAGTATGTAAAACATTGTTGGTAATAATTATATTTTTAATTAAAAATAAAATAATTTTATTGCAATTACATATTTTTTTAAAGTTCGTCTTCGGAGGATAGATTTAATTTTTCAAGATCATCTTCTGCTTTATCCCAATCAAATATAACTTAGCCATCATCTTCTGTGTCTTCACATTCTCCGGCATAAATTTCAACACTTGATTCTTGCTCTTCTATGTCTTCATCATCATTTTCAACACTTTTTTCTTTCTCTAGATATGACTGTAATTTCTAAAATATGAAATTGCATTTAAAGCTAATATAATAAATGGAATAGATGAAATATAAAATATTATTTTGTCACTTCATTTTAATATTGATTTCAACAAAATCCTAAAAAACTACCAAATTATCATAGGTTAGTTAATTATTACCAAAATAATACATTCTAAACTATTGTAATGTTTGCATTTTTCAAAACAATTATTATTACTTTATAGAATAAAGACATTTTTTATGCATATAATTACAGTGAAAAGTCTTACAGAGCATAAAAAAAAATATTGTATTATAGACAATTTCATTAAATCGAATATAATAAATTTGGCTAAATGAAAGTTTCACTGTATTTTCAAATTGAAATAATATATATTACTTGATTAATACATTTATTACAGGTACTAAAATCCTTTTTACCTTACTGGATTTTCGATATGTAATATTGAAAGTCGATGATAATACATCAACTGATGACTTTTCCTGCCGGTGAACTACTTTATAGGCATTACATAAGTAATTCATACCTAAAGAAAAATATTAATTTTTAGATAATTTTTAAAAATTACTACAAGCAAGGCAGTCTTAGTGTAGAAAATACTTTTAGTCAATCTTCTACTTATTCAGGGATTAGAATGGTTAACTACAGTTTGTATTGAGTTTTGAGTGTATAAATTATAATAATACAAAAGTAGGTACATGTAACCCTTCTTTCAATTATAGGATATTCTATACAGGGCGTAACAGATAGAACTGAGTTTTGGAATAACTTTTGTTCTAATCAATATTTAAATATTAAATATTTTGTATGTATATAATTTAGAGTCAATTGTGCTACTGCTACACATATATTTACAAACAATTATTTTTATTTTTTAACACTGAAAATAAAATTTTAAATTTGATTTAAATTTTTTTGGATATATTCAAAATAGCCAATTTGTCAATCTGATTATAAGAACAATTTTGATACTAAAAACATTTATCAAAATCAAGTAGTTTATCTTTTAGAATTTTTTAGAATATCAATATTTTTTTGATTAAATGAATTTGGAACGTAATAACTTTTTTTGAAAATATTTTTGTTTTGGAATTTGCTGACATGAGTATATTTCTTAAATTGTTTACTAATCATAAAATTTTACCATTTTTTGTTATACTTTTAAGTAGCAAAATTTTTTTTTCGTCAAGTCTTTCTGTTACACCTTTTATACTATTCAATTTTAGACTTTTCACTTAAATATTATATCACAATTTGATATTTTACACTGCAAATGTTATCTCATTACAATCTCGAGTTTTCTATTTAAGTTTCTATTGAAGCAGTCTTCACTATGATTTTAGAAAGGGCCAAATAATCATTTTGAAAATTACTTGCGGCCCGCCTACATTTTTAATGGTAATGATTAAAAAAATTCATTGGACCCTTATTTTTCAATCATATTATTATATATATTTACTTACTTCTATAGGTAGTTTTGAAATATTTAGACAGTATGGTGTCGGTGTACACATTTCTTGTTGTAATTGTTTTTTTTTTTTTTACCAAGGCACCCACCCAATATTCTATTTCAAAAGTTAAAATTTTTAATAGTATTGAAAAATGTTTACTCGTAATATCAGATCTAATAAGTTCCTCTTCTTGAACAATATCATCTAAATAATCAATTGACATTAAACTTAACCGAATGGACTTAAATAACTCAGGCAGACATTTTAAACGTTCTTTTAGATCATGTTTTAACCACATCATAATAGATTCATAAGCCTAGAAAATAAAATGACATAAACAATATATCAATAATAAATTGTGAATAATCAAAAAAAAAATTAACTATCTAAGAAATTATATTATTTTAACAATTTTAGGTACATTGAATATTTTACCTCTTCTTCTTCTGCATGTAAGTCATCACTCTGAATAAGTTCCATCATCAATTCAAACGAAAATGATAAAAATGTATTTGACTTGACAACATTACTAGATTATAGAATGCAATGAAATTAATAAAAAAAAAACATGCTTTTCTTAATACTACTTAATACATGAACGAAAAACTTGAAAATAAACTTACTTTTAAAACAATTTCTTAATGAAACTTCAAGGTTATCAAGATATTACTAAAAGTGTTTCTAAAATGTATTTGTTGCAAAATTTTTAAAACTTGTGAATTACAATAAACGAAAAACATGGGGCACTTATGATAACTCCTATGTAAAGTCACTCTACAACTGAATTATTAGATAAACTTTATGATAAATTGATAAATATTTTAAAGATTATTGATCATACTTCCAATTTTGTAAGAGATATTCTTGACTCATAGGAGTCCTATGCATTTCGTTTTTTGTTATTCACAAGTTTTAAAAATTTTGCAACAAATACATTTTAGAAACACTTTTAGTAATATCTTGATAACCTTGAAGTTTCATTAAGAAATTGTTTTAAAAGTAAGTTTATTTTCAACTTTTTCGTTCATGTATTAAGTAGTATTAAGAAAAGCATGTTTTTAAATTTTTTTTTTTTTTGACAACTGGGTCATGTATTGTCACCGACCCTAGACCTCCATACAAAATTTGAGCCTCCTAGGTCATGTAGAAGTGACTTAAATTGAGCTCGCAAGATTTGATGACAACAGAAATGAATGAAACATTGCGAGTTAAAGAAAAGCATGTAAAAATTAAGTAATTAGGAATTTTAATATTTTAAATAGACACACTAGAAGACAATACCCTAAAAAAAAAACCATAGCACGCCACTCAATATTTTTACTCTACAATGAAAATCTATGAATCTTAAATAGGTATGTTTTTGTTAAAGGTATTGATGCCTGTTTTTCCAATTTTTTGCAATTCTATACATTTTGAAATTATATTTTATATTTTAGTTGCTACATTATTGCCCACATTAATTAAAATAGTTTTCCAGTAATCGTCTTCCCGATACCTACTTAAAAGGGGTTGATAATATGGTATATTATATCTACAAAAATCTACAAAAAGGAAGTGAAATCGAGAATAATCAAAATATAATAATTGTAACTTAAAATTTTTCAAATTGATTAAGATTTAAAATATACTCACTTGTAGTTTTTTAGTACATATGACAGAAATAATTCATGTAAATCTTTTATTTCATTCCTATCAGCAATTCTTTTTACTGTCATAAAGTTTCCAATATCAATGTTTTGTTCTAAATATTTTAAACATTCCTTTTCCACATCATTGAGCATTAAAAAACGTGATGCTATTAATAATTCCTAACATAAATAGTATGTATAGTTACATAATTTGTAAAATGTTATCTGTATAGTAACTGTATTCTGTGTTAACTAAATAGAAATTACAATGGTTAATGTTTGTTAGAAGTCATAATTAATTTATAAAACTAATTTACATAGAATTATCAAAATTACAACAAGTAACAACCAATATATTATTTTAATATGTTATAGTTAACATTGATATGTAAATTACCTGCACATTGTAATAATTTATTGTAATTTGAGATGTATATAGAAAATCTATTAATAGTTCAAATGAACTAGGAGTGATTTCTACATTTTTAATGTCCAATAATTTAGAATCTTTGAAATTTCCATTAAACATGTCATTAAAATAACTACTGTGAGAAGATAATATAGCTTTGTGAGCTGATATTTTTATTTCTCCAACTAAAAATTGTATATCGCAAAATTCATTTTTCCTAAAAATAATTCATAATTCAAAATTAGATCATAGGAGATAATTATAGAAGCTAATGTGCTAATGTTTCTAATTTTGAGAGTACCTAATGATAGATACACATAACCTTGATTAATCGATGCTAATCATAGCTTGGGTAACCCAAAACAATTTTAAATGCTCTGAACACACCATGATTTATTTTGTTACTTCATTGCTTGTGTATTACAGTTACATGACAGTATGACACCATATTTATCTTCAGTAGTGCATGTTTAGTTTCGTTAGGTTATTTTATGCCAGGTCCACACAGAGTCTTGTTTTCTTGTTCTGTTTGGACCCAGCATTAGATCATAATGGATCTGACAAACCATAGTTTTAATATTAGGGTACAACAAATTGTGGTATGAAAATCTCTTAAGGGGCCTCGCTATGGCATCGATTTAAGGAGAATCATTTAGGCAATTTCTAATCTCGTTGCCACCCGAGACCTATGTGTTAGTCGTAATTCGTAAATGATTATTAGTGTGTGTCGATGGCGTCCATGAGGGTCAATTGTAACGGTACGACTGCTCACGCACACACATGTCAGTACTTATGTAATATTGTGATCATGGAAAAATGTTTATTTTTCACTCCAACATACGATTCTAATTCCAACAATACGTCGCAACGATTACCTCGATTTGCATTCGGACAAAATATTCTTGTTTTCCACAACATGTACGAGGGATCGATCGAGGCACATTTTTGAAATTGTATTTAGTTAATTAAATATTATATTGGAAATTCTGAATTTTTTAAAATTTTTATTGCAAGTTGAATTACAAAAATTAAAAATGTGGCTCGATAGTTCCCTTGTATATATTGCGGACAATCCGAATATTTTTTCAAAATGAAAATCGTGATAATTGTCGACACATATCTTTGGTATTAGAAACTGTAGTTTTTAACAAAAAAAAGACGTGGTAGTGAGCCCCCTTAAGATCTTATTAAAAACATGTCATTTTTATTTTTTGTTGTTTGTATCTATGTACAATTTTCCAAACATCAGATAAAATTGATGCAAGACATAATACAGTGCACTCATCAGTCATCTTACCTAAGCCAAGTAGTTACTAGGTAGTAACTAGTAGTGGTACCTATAATACATTTTGAAATAATAATAAATCATGATTCATCAGTTGCAGTGTTGCACGAATGATTACACTAATACAACACTAAATTTGTAATTTTTTTTAAGAGGATGTCAGTGCACTATTTGTTTTCCCTCTCTAGCTGACTCGCAACAATACTAATATTGTCTGTATGTCAGGTGGGAAAAAAAATATTGTGTCTTTACCTTGTAAAATTAATGAGGTAGGTAGAAATAAGTTATTCATTATCAATGTTTATTGTGTATATTAATATTATATTTTATGTGTATCAAATTGAAGTTTGTAATTATTATTACCTTCGCATGGTATTTAATGCATTGTATGATGATTGAAAACGATTTATAGCACAGAAATTGATATGTGTTAAGTTTTGGTCAGACATACTAATCTCGAAAATAATCAACTAAAACAATAAATTATATTTGTATTAATTATTTAATGTAGTACACTAATTAAGTAGACAATAATATTTATCAATATCTTATCAAAAACAAAACAAATTTGATGAGGATATTATTTTTTTAAAAACTAGGAATTTTAAAATTGAAAATTCTTAGGTAGATTGGAAAACAAAAATTAAACAGTTTGTCCAACTTCAATGTAAGAGCTATAAAATATGCAATACCTATATGTCATGTCTCATGTCACATGTCTCTGAAATTTAACTACATCGATGCTTATTTAATTTGATTAGGTATGTTGTTGAATAGTTTAAATACATAATAATTCTAAAAAATATAAACAATATTATATTTTATTTAGTTCAAAGATAATATTTATAATTACGAACGTAAGTACTAATGTTGCACTTTATATAAAACAATTAATTTTGGCTATAGTCATTAAAACGGTCGAGTGAAAAGATAATAGTAGATTGGTAGTTAGGTATTCAAATTATAATCACAAATAAAAGGTAGTGAAGAAAACATCAAAAGGTATGATTCATAACAATAAAAAAATCATGTGACATGTGATAATGACGTTTTTACAGAGGAATTCTACTTTTAGAATCATTATAGAATAAAAATATAATTCATGTTATAGGTACAGATACCAAAAAGAATAGTACCTACCTACATAGTATAATATACCGTCTATATTGATGCTATTTATACTGTAAAGTGTAAGCAACTCAGTCCAGACTACAGCTAGAGTCGGACAATCCCACGCCGGAACTAAACCTAGGTTAATTAAATAATAAGACACACTTACTTGTTAAAATCGACTATAACTCTTTCTCGACTTCTTGAAATCTTGACACTCGTGCAGGTGTGGCTACTGCCTACTATAATAGTTATAAGTTACAACTTATATTTGTATATAGTGATGCTTACTGGTGAGTGGCGACTGCTTAATCTATATCACGATTTTTTAGTTTTATATAAAAGAAGTTCTTTACAATAGCTGCCTGTATTGCGTTATTGCTATTCCGTAATTCGTATAATATGTATTAAACATTTATACGTCTTGGCGCAGATAGGTGAATACCATGACGAAAAAAACTTAAATACCATAGACCTTTTACTAATAGGCCCCACCTCACATTTCCCTTTCCACCTTTCCACAGATTCTAGATAGGTTTTCGCTTTTCGGTTAGGTACCAAGTATTCTGGTTCGGTACAATATATTATAATTTATATATACCAGGCGGGCTGCATCACTGCGCCATGTCGCCAGTTGAAAGTTCGCAACTCCACAATCAATATGACAATTTCAATATCAATTTATCAATGTATTATCTTTTCCTAATAGACCGGCCGTTTATTAGTAAAAGGTCTATGGGAAATACCAAATTGGTTATAGGTCGTGTGCAGTGTATACTGGCTGCCTGGCAATACTGAATTAGGCAAGTCACGTAGATATCTTTAATCGTGGTAGCCGGTAGGTACTCATATTGTGTATTAACTATTAAGTATTGAAGTCGGGTTTTCCCAAAATGGCGTTTTAATGTTGTTATGTTCTATGGTCATTACTCATTAGCCATCACAGATATAGATAATAAACATTATTATCTATATCTGTGTTAGCCATAGACCATGATAGTGCTATACTATATTATAGCGGCCACGAATTAAGATATATATTATCTTAATTCGTGATAGCGGCTCAGTCCAGTGGCGTATATAAGGGGTGGGCACAGTGGGCTTCAGCCCCCCCCCTCCGAAAATTACAGTCTTTTTAAATAGAACAACAATATATTTTATTAGGTACTATTATAAGTTATAATATTTTATAGCCTGTTGAAAGATAACAAATACGAATATATTTATAGAAACTGTTAATATATAGTGGACAATAGCTTCTAAGTAATAGATCACTTGCTAGTTTCTGTCTACTAAAGCCCATCCCCCAAAAATTATTTCTATTTACGCCACCGTTAAACACGTAAGGGCAATCGGTACATTCAGTTGGGGGCAACTGGTACATTTGGTTGAGGGCAACTGGTACATTTGGTTGAGGGCAACTGGTATATTTTTAAAATCCTGATAACAGCCGTGGGGGGAAACTGGTCAACACCCATTTCTTACACTACGAAAAAAACTATACAATTAACATGAACCTAAATAGTTGATTAAAATGTTTAAAAACTAAACTTTCAACATTGTTAACATTTCTGTACTTTTTTCATACAATAAGTCAATTACTTGATCCGAGGTTAATATCAGCACTCAATTCTGGCTTAATAAATAACAAGTAACAACCCCATACACGCCAAATATTGTGCGTACAATCTAGCCGAGCGTCTATTTATATTATTATGATCAATACTAAATAAATAGATAATAATAAAGTTAAATAAACTAATAGTAATGGTTTTTATTAAAATTATTATTTAATAAACATAAATAAAATTCATAATAATATTATGTTACCTACTAATTTAAACACACCTACCTATGAAATACAAAAATAGGAGTGGGTACGTAATAATAATTATTGAAAAATTTAAAATAAATTACTTTTAAATAAATAAATATATTTTTTCCACTCATATCTCATTGTTTCAATAGTACCTATAATACCTATATATAACCTAACCTATATAGTACCTATATAGTTAACTTTTACATTGACTTTCCTGTGTAGTGTGTACCTACTAATTTAAAACTCTTGTCTTAATATTATTATTATTTTATTATATTTATGTATCAGGTTGAACACACCAAATCTAAAATCATTTTTAAATTATAAACTATTTTCAATTTATTCAAATTATTATTTTAATAGTTTGTATTACCTACTAAAGACATTTATTATTCTAGAAATTAAAAAAAAAAAATCAAAAACTTACCTGTTTGGGCTGTATGGCAATCAGTACAAACTGTTAAAATTATAGAAAACAACTATACCCGTCGACGAAATTCAAATTAATGAAATAAAATATGTATAATACTAGGTTAATAATATTATCAATGATAACGAATAATCCATGCAATTTATAAATAACTTTATTATAAACAGAAACATTCGGAGCCTAACCTAACCGTGTATCCACATACCGCTTTTTCTTGTCTATAGTATTCACTAGAATTCTAAATAAAAATTATTCGTTTTTCAACAAATATGCGAATTGTATAATATGATTAAACCTTGTACAGTAGTACACCAAAAGTTACATTACCAGTAACTAAAACTAACCAACAACATTTCTTATTTGTCCTTTATGTAATTTTCTCTTTTCAATTATTCAATTAAAATTATTTTAAAAAAATTATCATTTATTGTTAAAAATAATACAATTACGGAATTTAACAGAAACTACAGGTACCTATTTTGTGGGGGGCCCAGGTCTTATAATTTTTAAGACCTACCGGGATTTTCCCGGTATCCCGGTGGGCCAGTACGCGCCTGTACATACATACGTCATACATATATTATTGATATTATAATAATATTATGTTGGCTATAGTAAATAAATATACCTAAGTGTAATACCGTGCTGGCTAAAAAGGAGACCATATTGTTTTGTATACGTAAATGTTTAATCGAATAGAATTTATTTGTTTATTTATATCATAATAGTTGCAATTAGTTGAAAATACATATCCAAATAGTAAGTTTTATTGTTTTGATTTTTTTTTAATTTAATATTTAATATTGAGTATTTAAACTTAAAGTAAAGTTATAAATTAATTTAATTGTTTTTCCTCTGCTCAAAACAATCAACATTCAACACTGCAGCCAGTACGAAAGTTGTCGAAGTAATTTTCAAGAAATTTCAGCAACGTCGTTGATACCGAAAAAAAGGAAAGGTATTACGAAAATCCTTATCTCTCTCCCTTCTCGCTGGTTATGATTAGAAATGCATGAGTGAGGATTTTAATTTTTTAATTTTTTAAAACGCATTGTTAGTAGTTCTCAGTAAGGGAATGAAATCTTAATTTTAACAATGCACTAATGATTTAAAAATATATATAAATGAAAATAGTCGATGACGAGGATAGTATTTTAAATGTTATAATTAGGGCTCGGAAGTTGTAGGACTGTATAGGAGTTGTATATTATTCTATATTATATGCTCTTGATTTATGGAACATAAAGCAATTTTAATTTTGTTGTGCATATTTCTTGCATATTTTTCCTTTTTTAGCTCCTATACCTAGCTTCCGAGCACTATAGTTATAACTTATAAATAATAATATAAATATTTCTACAGGTAAGTCTGGTAAGTAATATACAATAGTTTAAGTGCAAATAAAGTGTCAATTTAATTTAATTAAAATTACTTGAATGGTTTATATATTTATTGCCACTATTCTAACTTTGGTTTGTTGTTACTGTTACATTTTTCACCAATATCCATATGGGAGTATTAAAAAAAGTAAAGTTCCTAATAATGAACCCGTGTAACTTATAACTTTATGGGTGTTGGCAGAAAAAATTAACAGTAGGTACCTGTATTGAAATAAATTATTTTGAGTAGTAATTCACCAGTGCGTGCGTTTAATAATTTAAATAATTAAACTCTTATAATATTTCCTATTGATATAAAATTATATCCACAAATTCGCCATATAAAAAAAAACTCAAGCAGACTTTTGCAAATTTTACCATCATTACATTATTATTTTTCTAATTATTGTCAACCATCACGGTACTTTGTCAAAACACATTACGTATCTTAAAAACAAAAACGTATCCACAATTGATCATTAACAGTAAATTACTTTGTGGTGAACGTGTGGATAAAATTGACACTTTATTTGTATATGTGGATTAGGCCTTAACGGGGACACCACAATAAAAAAAACGCGCCATGTATAATACCTCATGCATTTAAACGGACTTCATTATTCCAATGTTGTCGTTTATCGCTAAGGTGGTGTGGAATTTTATACACAAATAGTGGCGTATATAGGGGGTGGGCACAGTGGGCTGCAG